CCGACGTGTGGCCCTCCTTTCCATCACCCTGTTTTTCATGCATGCTTCTGTCGTTGTGGAACAACCAGGTCCTTTGTGGAACACCAGGTTTCTCAGATAGCTTGCACAAAGCCAAGCATACCCACTTCCAAGGGGGAAAGATGCTTCTGCATAAAGCCATGTTTCGTCAGCCTGAGTGGGGCTGTGCTTGGTGTTTTAAACCAGAGCAGAGGTGGAGAATGTGTTTTGTTTTGAAGACCAGAGGATGCATTCTTTTGGGAGCAGCCTTCTGAGGACCACATGCCCATGGTGGGTGGGATCAGGGGCAAAAGTGGGTGGAGGAAATAATATAAAGTTCACTTTCTACACACTCACCCATCCATCTCAATCCTCCCGCCAGGCAAATCTAGCCAGGCAAAGGACACTCAAGTGAGCGGCATGCAAGGCAAGGCCTGTGGCCAGGGGAGAAGGGAAGTTGCTAGAGATCTGCTATTACACCTCTAGCCTAGTTTAGAGGGGGGGGGCATTTTTCAGCCCAAGAGCTGCATTGTTTCCTGGGAAACTATCCAGAGGCTGCATGTCAGTGGTGAGAACAGACAGGCACAAAAGTGAGTGAAGCAGTGAATGCAAATTTTGCCTTCCGTACAGGCGGATAATTTCTACACTCACTGTCCTCCCTCCAAGCAAGCAAGAGGTATTATCAAAGGACACATCCCAGCCAGGAAAAAACACCCCAGGGGCCAGTGAGGGGCTGCATGAGGAGAGGGGTATGTGGTCTGGGAAGAATTATGAGGGCCAGGGCAAGTGATTTGGAGCACTACATTTGTGCCCTGGTCCTGAGGTTCACCACACCTGAGCTAAAGTCAGCCCCAGAACTGTTCCTGGGATGATAATAATGGCCATTATTGCATGCTGGAAACCTGCATGCCTCAAAATACTATGGCGGGTGAGTAGGTCAGAATTCCCCCCCCCCTTGTAGTTGTGATTCAAACACTCCAAAGGGCTCAAAGGTTTGCCATTCTTTACTAAAGGATTTGCTGTTTTACCAGTCCTCCTTGTATTTCTTGCAGACGAAATGAATGACCATCAGAACACGTTGTCCTATGTTCTCATCAACCCTCCTCCAGACACACGCCTGGAACTCAACGACATTGTGTAAGTACCTTTGACGTTGACCGAAACCATTGATGGTGTAAGTTGAATAGATAGAACACCTTTCATATCTGGCTCCAGGAGTTCTATGTGGGTAAAACGGCTGGGTAGGGCCACCGGAAGAAGCAGGGCCTTCTCAGTGGTGGCACCCCAGTTCTGAAACTCCAACCCTTTTGAGGTTATTCTGGCAACATGGTAAGGCTTATTTGTTCTTCCAGGCCTTTAGTTGGATAATTTATTGCTATCCATCTTACTGCTTCATTTACAATATTTTGGGTGGTATTCAGCTAGAAAAATAACTCCATTTCCCCAACAGGACTCTCCTCCCCTCCTTTCCTCCCACACACCCTATCCCCAAATTTAGGGGGTGCAAAGGGGAGAGGAGAGTTGTTTTGCTCACGCAAAACGCTACATAGCACTGTGTTAAATACAACCCAATGTAGTTGTGGTTTTGCTTTTGCTTTCATGGTGTGTTGTTATTGTTACCCGCCGTGGGTTCGCAAGAGAGGAAGGGTGGGGGGACAAGAAATACAATAACATAACAGCAATGCGTAATCATTTCTGCCTAGGTATTTAATACGACCCGATCCCTTAGCTCATGTCGAAAATGAGACCCACAGTCGAAAGAGCAGCTGCAGTAACAAGCTGGACCCCTGTAGCCCCGAAACGAGAGATGAGACGCAGCTGTGAGAACCTCCCTCCTTTTGCACGGACACTATTGCCTCCCCCTCTTGTCCATGCATGGAACTATAACAGAACTTAATGGATGAACTTTGTTGAAGGGGATGGACAGTTTTCTGCAGGGATTGAAGATGAGCTCCTCATCGAAAAGACAAAGACAACCGCTTGGTTGGGGATCCCGACCAGCTTACCGAGTGACCCACAGGGCACTGAGAAAAAGTCACATTCCCTCCCCCCTCCCCAACCTGGCTTTGTGTCTCCCCCAGAAAAGTTTCCAATGGAAGGTCCTGAGAGTTTCAGAATTAAAGGAAACATGGTCCAATCGAAGACATGGATAATTCGTACAAGTCTCAGTTTTAATCATTTCTTTTTAAAATGCTTTTTTGGGAGAAGGAAGGTGGGATGGGTTTTTTAAAATGTACCAAATCTATCTTCATTGTCAAAGACTGGAGGGTTTCCACAGGTGATTGTTGCACCAGGTGTTTCAGCCACCCTCCAGTCCAGAAGCAAGGCCACATTGTGTACAAAGCAAAAGAGCTTCAAAACCGAAAACAATGAAGCATTCCAGTGGTGGTTACTTATGATTTGCTAGGTATCTTTATCCTCTAGACATGTGTTGCCATGTCCTATAAGAGGAAATCTGGTAAACACAAGGAATCACATTAGAGTGGTCATAACTGTCATGAGAATTGGCTGTAACCATTTGCTGGAGACTCAAGATGTCCATTTGGGTAGAATTGTTTACAGAAGGGACAACTTCATTGTTGGATGAGCGCTGTCAAGCTGCAAGGGGCCTTGACTAAGTATCTTATTGAGTTATCTTCCTTGAGTTAGGAACGCACCTCTCCATTACAAAACATGTGTCTATTCCCATCCTATAAACCAGGGATGGGGAGACTATGGGCCTTCAGATGCTTTTTGGATTCCATCAGCTCCAGGCAGCATGGATAGCAGCCCATGATGTTGGGAGTTGGAGTCTGACAGTGTCTATAGGTCCACATTTTCTTTATCAGCTTGCAAGTGATGAACTGGTGACCATTCGTGATATCATTTAGAGGCATTTATCTGAGAGGAGATGGAAGTTTGCTAGTAAACTTGCCAAACTCAAAAGTGGTACTTGGCGTGGTGTGTGTGTGTGTGTGTGTGTGTGTGTGTGTGTGTGTGTGTAAGGGTCTAAGAATGAATATCTGCTGTTCATCTTTTCCACTGCCTCTACCTCTTCATGGCCTGAGTGGTGGTGGTTGTTTTAAAGAAAATAATTACACACAAGTCACCAGTGAGGCGTCAGGAAACAGTGACTTTGCTCTGGTTTGGCATCAGGCAAAACACTACTAAACTTCAGGTTACGTAAATACAATCCTGGTAACAACACACACAATGTAACAGGCTGTTTTTGACTATGTAACTTCTATTTCAAACACAATTCAACATATAATATCTCACAAGGTGTAATTCCATAGACCAACACATCATGCAAACAGAACATAGCAAGAGTCCAATGGATGGTCAGGAGATAAAGTCCATTCAGTTCCTAAACTGGCATATTGGCAATAACCACAATATGGTGACAAGGATTCCGGGATAATACCTTGTTTCGCCCAACCGGGCTTCGTCAGCCATGCATACTCTAAATTAAACAAACATGATATAACATAATCCTTATACAAACCAAGTAACACAACATACAAATTAAACAAGTTTATATACCATATTCTTGTATGACGGAAACATGGAACAAAATAAATTCAGTTAATCCAATCACTGGCCAAAGTTCCTTTTTATACAGAGAGGCAGTATAGATTCTAACACAGGTGGCTACAATTTCTGTAAATGTTAATGAGGGAGACCATATTTTCATGTTTAACGAAATTAATGATGTACCTTTAAGAATTAACACTTCCCGCCGGAAAGGTACCTATTTATCTACTTGCACTTTGACGTCACCCCGTCATGGGGATTCAAACCGCCGACCTTCTGATCAGCAAGTCCTAGGCTCTGTGGTTTAGACCACATCGCCACTTGCATCCCTAAAGCCCTCCTTATTAGAAAACTCATATTGTGGTTATTGCCAATATGCCAATTTAGGAACCGAATGGACTTTATCTGAATACTGGCCATGGTGGCTGGGGCTGATGGCATGCAACAACGTCTGGGGCGCTACAGATTTTTCATCCCCTATTTTTCAGTGTACGTGCCTCAACATCATCAGAGTCTGCAAAAAGCCAAAGGAGAGGTGTAATGTTGCAACAGTGGAATATTCCATTTGGTTCTAACTTGGTAGCATTTTCTTTTCCTCATGAGTGAAACTAGAGAGACAGTACTCTGTCACACCATGACTAAAATCTGATAGGACCCATGCAGGGCCAGAGAAAGTTCCTTTGGGGGACCAGATCCAGCAGCTACTGGGGTTGTGGGGGGAGAAATTTAGTTCAGTACACATTTAAAGGGGTGCCTACCTAATTAGTACTCCTGAAACAATATATGAATCAAACTGTAGCAATCCTTCAACATTTGCACACCTCTGGATTTTGCAATGCACTTCCTACAGCCAAGCAAGGCATACAGAATGCCTTGCTGATAGGATAAAATGTGCATTAAAAATACCTATGTTACTAAAAAACAGGAAAATGCATTATGTTAAAGGGAATTAAGTGCAATCTATTTGGAAAAATTCACAGCATAAAGTTGATGAATTTTCATGAGGATTTAAAATAATAATAATGCACAAATTGAGGCAAAAATGTAGAGAACTGAAGACTGAAAAATGGGAAACTGAGAGGAACCAAACTTAGTAAATTTGCCCATCCCTCCCTGATTTTGTTTGTTTTCTCATTCTAAAGGACCAACATGACTTAACAGAAGAGAAATTCAATGCCCCTCTTCCTTGCCCAAATTTGATGAAGCAGCATCTAAAATTAGAGTGATGGCATTATGGTGGTTTCATTTTTTCCTATCGATCTTTATATGAAACATTACTTGCTTAACACATCTCACCTTTAAAAAAATTCATAGATTACTTCTAAAGTGTAAATTTACATCTACTGAGACATTCAAAGAAAAACAATGTATTTAGCAATGGCTGATGGACTACTGAATACAAATGTTTAATTTTTCTATTACTTTCAATCAGAAGACATATGTAAAATAAATATTTTATTTTTGTAACTGTCCTGCCAGCGGACATTCATAAAAAGGAAGAATATTTATCTACAAAATGTTCTGTCAAGGAAATGTATTCTTGGCTTACTTGGGTATCATTTTAATGATATGAGCAAATTTGTTCTGTTTATGAAATTATATACAGGGGACTCTCCACTTATGCTGGGGTTACGTTCCAGGGATTGTGCCTAAAGCCAAAATTGCATATAGTCGAAATACATTGGGTTCAATGGCAGGTAGGATTACCGACGTTCCCCCCCCCATTACACCTGCCCCCTTTCCACCCCGTCTTAATTTATCTTATTTTTTTAATTGCCAAGTGTTTAAAGCTGAATGTTCACAAATTAAATGTGCCTAAGTTGCAAGTTATCTGTATTGTTTCCAAATATATGGGAGGGTGATGATTTATATAAGGAGCGTTTATCAATTTATACCCCTATATCACAAACAGAAAACTTTGATCTTGAAGAACTTTTTCAGACTGTAGAGATGGTTGGGTTTTTATTTATTATTTTATTTGGACAAAAAAAAATGACGGCAATAAAATAAAAAAATGTTCAAATTTTTGAGGGATGTTTTGAACTCTAAATTGCAGTGTCATAGATGTGAGCTTAAAATACCGAGTGTTGGTGGAATGAGAAACTGAGCACAGTGAAATTGACGCATTCATCCATTCCTTTTTGAAAAATGGAACCAACTTCCATTGAGGGAAGAGATTGCAGCCTCATCACCTTCGACAAAGTTTTACTTTGGTAGCAAGTGAGTGGGTGGGGGAACCCACTGGGCTACTTCTTAGACTTGGCATCAAGTTCAGTCTTTAAGCAGCCTTCTTGCTCCCCAACATTTCCTGAAGGGCTTTCATAGGCAACCACATAGTCTTCCCTCATATCAGCTGAGTCAGCCTCCGTATGCTCACCTGGCAAGCTTGTGTTTTCCTCTTCAGCCAGAAGGGGGAAATTGATCTGGCACATTTTCTGAACCAAAGGGCAGCTTGATGTGACAGTTTCGGCCTCTTCATATCCACCCCCTTGAAAGCTTGAATAAATCATGTTGCTGCAGCTCTTATCAGACGTAGGAAGCTCCAGCAGCCACAGATTCTCATCTATCGTGAAGAGGAGGCCGATAGGAGTGTCATAGCAGGAATTCAGATCTGTTGCTTTGGAAGATGAGCCAACACCATCCTCTTTACCTTCTGCAAAACATGGATTGGCAGTGCCAATGGCAAAAGACTCTAAAGGTGCTTCTGCATCCAGGATTTCTTCACTCAAGGTTCTGAGGCTCACACCCCTTGGAGGGTACATGTCCACTCTGTGGTCAACCACCATCTTAGCTTCTAATGTCCCCACAACCCCCAGGCTCCTATCCTGACCTTTTAGAATCAATTGCGTGGTGTTCTTAGTCGGCGGGAAGACAGTGGCAAGTGCTGTTGTGTGGGCCAGAGGAGAAGGAGTCTCTAAATCACCTTCCCTCTGCCCATGATGAGGAATTCCACAGGAAGGGTGAAGGGCTGATAAAGAGATTGGTTGCCAGACGTCTTCCAACTTCGACCTCTCAGCATTGTGGTGCAGACCAAGGGCTGCTTCATGTTCTGCAGGATGAAACATAAAATTAGGGATTGTATGTTTCTTTCATTTGTTTATGATGTTCCAAGTTTTCCAACTGATAAAGAGATGCACACAATCTCCTGCTCCCGCCTCCCAATCACATTTAATTAGGAAATTAAACCCTAAGCTCCTCTTCTTTTTGGAGAGCAAGAGCCAAATGGCCATTGGTCTTGAGTACAAGGCCAATGGTGGGGTGGGAATGGGGCTCATAATCTCAGTTCTCCTTCTGTACTTAGGAAGTAAAGGCTGGTGATGGAGATGAATGTAAGAACACCATAAGAGCCGGCTGGCTCAGGCCAATGGCCCATCTGGGTCCAGAATCTTGTTCCCTCAATGGCCAACCAGATGTCTGTAGGAAACCCAGAAGCAGGACCTGGGCACAAAAGCACACTCCCCCTCTGTGGTTTACAGCAACTGGTATTCCAATGCAACTGGCATTGTTGCCTCCAGCTGCTGAGGCAGAGCATAGCCATTGAGGCTAGTAGCCACTGAAAGCCTTATTCTCCATGAATTTGTCTATCCAGCCATCCAGCCATAATCAAATAATTAATCAAATAAATATTCAGATGCATCTCAATATGGAGAATGTGTTGTGGCCCCTGAAAACACCTCCCTTATCTCTTCCTTCTCTAGTCATAGGTCTGGTAAAAGGGGGGGTACATGTTGTAGTGGCATAATGATGCCACATAATGCATCTTATTTTAACCAGACATTATCAAAGGAGGATGAGCCAGGGCTGTTGTTGTGGTCAGTGGACATGTGCTCCCTGATTTTCTCCATGCTGCTGCTAAACTGCCCCACTTAAAAAATGATAATGCATGCTCAGTGTTACCTTTCAGGTAGACTTTGTCAGTGGAAGACCATTGGGTGGCTTTATCTAGCCTTCTGGAGGTCCTAGGGGTGGTGCTCTGTTGAGTGTGCCCCCTCTGAGCTATCCAATACTGGTTGGGTTCCTCTCTATCGCTTCTATGTTTCCACATTCTTTTGGTGGTGGGTACATTCCTTGACAAAGAAATGTCTGGGCCTTGTTGCTGGATCCCAGGTTTTCTATGTTCAAGAACTCTTGTTCTGGCCTGTGTTGTAGTATCCAAGCATTGGGAGTTGCTCCCTCCTTCCTCAGGATATTGTGTGATGGACAGCATTTCAGTACATGCATCCTTTGGAGACCTGGGGCTGTAATCCTCTGACTGGCTGGGCACATTGGAAAGGCAAGAAGTGGAAGTCATGCCACAGTATGGAGGGGTGTGCAGATCACCTGGTTGATTCCTCTGCTGTTTTATTCTGCCCTTGCTTGGCAAGGAGGAATAGCCTTTGGAATAAATATCAGTCTTCCAAGATGACTGTCCATTTCTGGTTGGGTGCTTAGAATGGCTTCCCTCTGTGAAGCGTTCTCCATACAGTTTCTCTCCAGAGGCTTTTCTGCATCTACGAGATGTGCCACTACCACCCTGGTAGTGATGACTAGGTCTTCCAGACATTGACATGTTCTTCTTCTTTGTTGCCAGCCAACTATGGGTAGTAGAGTTCAATCCACTCTGAGCCAACTCTTTTCTCTCGGAAGGGGTCTTGTAAAACATGGAAGAGTCTCTCTCCCTCTTGAGGGCACTTCCATCTGGAAAATCTATATGGACCAGAGCTTCGGAGTCCTGAACACCACCAAGCTGAGTCTCTGGGTGTGATATCTGTCCATCCAACTGGTGATTGACTCCTTCCCTCAACTCTGAAAACATGAAAAGCCAGAGAGAGAAAACACAAATCCTACATCACAAATACAGGTGACACATGGAATGCACACATGCATCAATAAAAATTAACTTGGGAAATTTATTTGGAGTGCTCCATTAAGCAGAGGCCCTCAGCCACATTTCTATCTAACTCTGTCTGTCTGTCTCTGTCTCTCTGTCTGTCTGTCTCTCTGTCTATTTCTCTCTCCATGACAGTGAAGAAGAGGGAGAGAAGGGAGTAGCAGAGAGAAAGAGAAGGGGGAAAGCTGGACAAAGGGAAGTTCCACAGATTTTTGGCTCTTGCTCTGCCCATCAATGGCTTTGGACCACACCCACCACCAGCATGCAGACCCTTGACTGATTGCCCCCAATTTAAAGTAACCTTGACAGACACAAAGTCACCAAACCCTGAACTACATGAATCTGATTTATTTATTCAGCTTGTTTCATCCAGGAAAATCTGCTGGTGAAGATACAAGTCATTTCCACACCATACATTTAAAACACATGGCTCCCCCCCCCAAAAAAAAAGAATCCTAGGAACTGTAGGTTGTTGGGAAATATAGCCCTGTGGGGGATAAACATCAGTTCCCTGGATTCTTTAGGAGAAACCATGTGCTTTAAAATGTATAGTGTGGAGGAATCCATAGTATAATCAAATGCTTACAAGTCTTGGGTGGTTTCTCTGTTCCGTGTTGGTCACTCACCATGTTTCTTCCACTCCATCTGATGTAAAGTTGCATGCTGGATGCACGGGCAGCAGGATCCTGCACCCCTCTTTGCAAATGATTGCTCCTGACTGCCATGGGCTTTGGTAGATCTAGAGGCGTCATTCACCCTGTTGATACATCCTCTGTGTGCCAGGCAGCAAGATAGGTTGTCTCCTTTCTCATGGAGAGTCACAACGGTTTTACCCACAGGATCCGTCGATAAAAAGGCAACCACCGGCCTCTTGAGGAAAGATTTGGCCTCTCCCAAATCTTGTGCTCTACAGGTTCCACAGAAGCAGCCACAGAATGGCCCTCTAGCAATTTTGACCCCTTCCGAATGGCTTGCAGCATTCTCTATGATGGGAAAACTGGAAGGTTTCAGTGGGTCCACGTTTGAGGTCCTCTGTTTGCTTGAGGACATTTTGGTCGATTTCTTTTGGGACGGTGGTTTGTCTTCAGTCTGCTTTGCAAAGGGGGTGCAGTTACAATAGTTGGGAATGCAGCAACAGATGACCAGGCCTGGAATTAAACCAACGAGGAGTCCTCCTGCACCCATGGAGATAAAGCATGGTAGAGATGAATGGTCAGCAATTTATTTTGTCTGCTTTATTCTATTTGCATCCCAGGGTTCCTCCAAGCAGCTTACAGTGGCATGCATTGGGAAGGGAGTTGCCCTAGACAAGGTCAGGCTATCTTTCCATCAAGCTCAGTATTGTCTGGACCAGGGGTTGGGAAGCCCTCGCCTGTGGCTTCATACAGCCTGCAAGCAGATTTCATCCAGCTCTCAGGGTGCCCTCCCACCCATCAGGAAAGAAACAAAGCACAAGGACTTGGCCATTGTGCAAAGTATGAAATCCCAGCTCTTGGGAGTGGTCTGTAGCTCAGTAGCAGAGCATCTGCTTTGCATGCAGATGGTTCCAGGTTCAGTTCCTGGCTTCTCCAGGTAGGGCTGGGAGATACTCCCTGTCTGAAACCCTGGAGAGCCACTGCCAGTCAGTGTTGGCAATACTGCCCTAGATGGAGCAACAGCCTGAGTTGGCATGAAGGCAGTTTCTTATGTTCCTATCTGATGCAAGAGCATCAAAGCAGAAGGAAGAGAAGGAAAAATGTCCCAGTGGGGTGGGGTGGGGTGACGGACTTGTCCTCCTTCCAGTTACAGAAAAGGTGCCTATTTGTTTTGAAGCTGGGTGCAGGCAATATTTGGAATGCAACTACATTTTGAAATCTGAAGCTGTAAATAACTGTAAGGCAGGGTGTGCATTAGCTTTGTTTACGTTCTTCTGCATTATGTCCTTTGTACAGTTCAACTACGGTACATTTAAAGAAAAAACTATCCAACACTGTTTAGCAAATATTGTAAAAATAGTTTAGTCAGAAAACGATGGTTACAGGAATAGTGATTCTGCTACTGTTATTGGTGAGACTGCAGCATTTAAGTGACTAACTGACTAAGTTAATCAATTCAAAGCGTTTTGATTTATCAAAAGGTCCAGCTTTCAAACATGTGCTTAAATAGCATTTACCTAGAAAGCCATAAAAAAAGCTGAGGTTCAGTAAAGCTGATGGCAGGAGGTGTGTGGTTGGGGATGGAGAGGGAGGCAGAGAGACACAATCTCCAGGCCTGATGCTCATCACTTGGTGTCCTGCAAAGTTGGGGGGTCTATCACAAACAATATCATCGAGATACTGGATTTTGGCCATCAGTGGCTCCATAGATCTTGCCAGTTGGCAATTGCACTCCCATGGGTTTTTGTGAAGAAATAAGAAGTTTACAGAACCTGGAAGGATGGGCAAGACACTCAACCTGTTTTGGAACAGTAGAAGATGTTTGAGTGTTTGCAAAGGCTGAAAAACCTCATGGTTGATGAACATGATTTTGTTGCTTGATAAGTCCAGTTTGGTCAACAAAGGCAATCCATAGAAAGTGTCCATTGGAAGATACTGGATCAAATTAGAAGACACAACCAGTTCATCCAGCTTGGCCAGGTTTTCAAATGTTCTTGGAGGAAGGTATGCAATTCTGTTGGCCCCAAGGAAGAGTTTGCTGAGTATTGGCATCTCTGAGAACCATGACCTTCTCAATATGTCCAAACTATTGTTGGTCAGAATCAATTCATCCAGGAGCAGAAGACCTGAGAAAGCCATTGGCTGAACCATGCAACTAAGGAGGTGGTTGTTGCTGAGATTCAATACCCTCAGGCGGCTGGCATGAATTGTGGAAAAGGTGAGGTTGGTCAGGGATGAAACTAGGAATCCAGTGATTGACAGGAACTGGAGGTTGGAGAATTTTGTGAAGGACAGTGGAGGAATCTCAGTAAGGTTCCCATGACGTAGGTGTATCTTCTCTGTGTAACTTGACAAACCTACTAAGACTGAATACAGGGGGAGGGGTGGGAGAGGGTGGGGAGACACTTAGACAGAAAACTACAAGGCAAAGCAACATTTGGACTTACAACTTCTTACTGGAAATACACAGGATATGGTAACTCACATTCTGCACTGAGGGAAGCAGGACTCTGCAGTTTGCATACACCATGCAGAAAAAGCCTATGCGCAATGGTGCTTCTCTTTTGTTTTGTTTTATTACATTTGCATTCTGCTCTTTCTCTCAGGATTATCTACATAAGAGGCAGGCAACTGTGGCTCTCCAAATCTGGCCAAACTACATATCCCATCACCCTTGGTCATTGGCCATGCTGGCTTGGGCTGATGGGAGTTAGAGTGCCCCAGGTTCCTGAGCCCTGAGATATCTATGTCTATATCATTATTTCCTCCCTCGCCCATTTTATCCTCATAACGACACTGTGAGGTGTGGCTGGCACATAGTCACCAGGGATCACAATGGCTGAATGGCAACTTGAATCTAGGCTTCCCTATTCCTAATCCAATGCTCCAGCCATTGTGCCACACTGGACCTCATGGTAATAGTTTTTGAAGTCCAACCACCACCAATAAAATGTATTGTAGCAAAATACTCTTAAAATGTGCATCTTGAGAGAAAATGTTTATTTTAAATGTAGTTTAATACAGAAATTAGTCAGAGCAGACTTATGAGTAAACAAAAGTGGAATTGACACAGCCCCCAAATAGACTGATCTGCCCATGCTTAGGCACCACTGTTGCCATATTTCAAAAAGTAGAAATCAGGACACCCTAAAAGTGGTTGAATTTTTTTCCTTTTTTTTTTTTCTTTTCAAAAACACCAACAAATGCATTTTTCCCCCAATTGACTTGCCTAAGATCCAGGACAAAGAACCACATTTCGGAATTTCCCCCCCAGACGTCAATTCTGCTTTTGAAATCCCAGTAATGTCCAGGAAAATCCAGACACGTGGCAGCCCCAGATAATGATAGTTGGTGCATTGCAGAACTGCTTAGCCCACTGGTGGGGAGCCTCAGGCCTGGAGGGCAAATGTAGCCCTCCAGGCCTCTCTACTTGTCCTTTGGAACTCTCCCCAGGCCACACTCTCTCTTCTTCCCAAGCCACACCCCACACTAGCCTTGCTTCACACTTTCCTCGAATGGCTGGAACATCCTCTAACTCTGATATTGCTTCTTCTTTGCCTGGACAGAGGCTTTGGAGAGGCACATGAGTGTGTGTAGAAACTTGCCTACTGTACAAAGGTAAAAGTTAAATGCATTGCTCTGCCCACTTTTGCATCTGGCTGTGCTCACAACTGGCATGTAGTCCTCAGAAGGCTGCCCAGAAGGAAACATGTCCCACGTGCTAAAAAAATTTCCCCGTCCCTGACTTATCCACTGAGACAGTTACAGGAAGTGATGGGGAGGAGGAAGCGGAAGCGTGGGTTTGAGTGGGGCAGACTCACCTTCTGAGAGTGCTGAGACTTGCTCACATTTTGCTGCATATACAGAGCAGGACTGACACCGGGGAGGACAGTGCAGGGCAACTTCCTTGGAAAGCAGCAGCAGCTGCAATGCACCAAACACCACCATACCTGTTCAGTACAAAGCAGAGGAAACTCAAATCTCTCTTGGAGTCCCTTCAGAGAGTCCCTTTGGTTCCCAGGAGTGATGATGCTGCAATAAGGAGGAGCTGCAAAGTAGACTCTTTTTGTCCATGGAGGCTGCTCCTTTGGAGTGAATGGGGAGCTCCCCACACCAGCCTTAGCCCTCAGCCAGCCTTCTAACTTTCAGCCCAGCCCAGGGGGTAGAACAACCTGCTAGCTTCCTCCTACTTAATCTCAGTGTTGCCCTTGTAGAATGCAGTGGGGAGGAGTATGGGAGCAAAACCAGAATTAGTTGGCTCCATGTTAATGGAAGACAATCTTACTTGGCTACGAGCGATCACCAAAGAAAGAATCAAGAACTGTTGGTTTGCCCACCTCCTGCCCCTGCCCCACCAGTCCCAGTGGACACTAGCCACCACTGCTTTCTGTGACCTTGGACTTCTGACCTCAACAAGCAGTAGTCTCCTAGCAGGAGTTGAAAAATAATGTCCCAGGTCTCAATATCAGTATGGAAAAGCACAACTCATCCCTCAGACTGGTGCCATCTTAAACTCAGTCTACATACACAAGGAGCCAAATCAGAGTAGGCTGGATTATATGACTTCAGCTGTGGGGAATCTCATTTTTGCAAGACAGTATTATGCAGGAAAACTTCCCTACATATAAAACACAGCAGGGAAATGGGCTGGATCAAAACTTTGCTCCCTGTCATGCTGGAATTTTTTTACTTACAGGGATTTATTTATTTTTTTACATTCACAAATGACTTGCCCTCACCTGTAGCCTGAAGTGGTACAGTCCATTATGCCACCTCAAGAGGCCTACCATCTCATTCTTACAAATGCGTAGACCACATATGCACCCCTGATTTAATGCTTGTTGGGCTTGACTTCTCCTTCTTCAAAGAATGAGACCAGGATTCAGAGTGGGGGGAAGGATTGTCCTCAGGGTCAGCCCCAAAAGCATCTAATGTAACTGAAGGAGTTATGGAGCCAGAACCCCAGTTTCAAAGACATCACATTGGGGATTGCATCTCAGAAGCTCCAGAGCAATTGGAATCTATACCACTCTATTGAAGTAAATGTCTATTGGAAGACACTGCCCCCCGTTAAATGAAGAGGCCCCTCTCAGTGAAAGGGGAACTACCTACTGAGACAGGGCCTTGGCTCCTGTATAAAGCTCAGTCCAAAAGTAACTGGTGCTGAAGCAACATCTGAGCTCTGCTCTTATGAACAGTAGTATTTGGCCTAAGACCTGTGTGGAATTATCCAAGGCACCCTGGCCTCTGCTGAGGTCAGTGTTTCCATCAGGACAATGTTGCCTTCAGTATCATCTGGCTCTTTGCACGCTGCTGGTCCCCCACTCTTGCTCCCTGGGTCACCCACTATGATAATTACATACGCTTCTGGTTCATGTGTGTACGAGAGAGGTAAAGAAGGGCTGGGGTGTCACAGAGAGAGGAAGAAAAAAATAGTAATGCATTCTTGCAGTGCTCAAGACTCCTCCCACTTTTATGTTCTGGTTTCACCCACCATTGGTTGTGGCTCCTGATTGGCTTTTCCTACAAGGCCACAGCCCTTCCTAGGTATGGTTGCCCATCCCTGTCATGGTGTAGTCAATTGTCTCTCAAGAATCATGTCACCCACTTATATACATGCATTTTTAGAGCTTTATCTTGGATTAAAACTCTATAATTTTGATACACATCCTGGGGAGCTGCATTTATTGGACCAAGATGGACAGCTCTCTCCATACGTTCAAACAATATCTAGATATGTGTGTTTTAAAATGAATACTGCAATAACTTACAACTTTTCCTTGGAGGTACCCTGGGTTTGGCCATTGCAAACTTCAGCTTCACTATATGATGAGGATCTCGCAAATGCCAGAATATTTATGCCTCTCTGAGATTGTAGTTCCGCAAGTAATCCAGATTTAAGGCTCATGATTGATGAACAATTGCCTGAACAAACCAAACAACTAAAGCACTTAACATTGGAGGTAAAATATGTTGAATGCAATGGCTACATCCACACAATATCATTCTACTTTAAATAATCATAGCTTTCCACAAAGAGTCCAGGAAACTGTAGCTTGTTCAGGGTGCTGAGAGTTGTTAAAGGTAAAGGTACCCCTGCCCGTACGGGCCAGTCTTGCCAGACTCTAGGGTTGTGCGCCCATCTCACTTAAGAGGCCAGGGGCCAGCGCTGTCTGCAGACACTTCCGGGTCACGTGGCCAGCGTGACAAGCTGCATCTGGCGAGCCAGCGCAGCACACGGAACACCGTTTACCTTCCCGCTGGTAAGCGGTCCCTATTTATCTACTTGCACCCGGGGGTGCTTTCGAACTGCTAGGTTGGCAGGCGCTGGGACTGAGCAACGGGAGCGCACCCCGCTGTGGGGATTCGAACCGCCAACCATGCGATCGGCAAGTCCTAGGCGCTGAGGCTTTTACCCACAGCGCCACCCGCGTCCCGAGTTGTTAGAGGGCCCCTCTCTCCTCACAAAGCAACAATTCCCAGAGTACCCTGAGAGGAATAGGGGCATCTAGCAACTCCTGGCACTCTTAAACTACCAGTGGTATAGCATGGGCGGTGCCAGGGGGACTGTTGCCCCAAGCGCACCATTGGGAGGGGGCCGCAAACCAGGCACCCCCCCTCCACAGAGATCCCTGTTGCTTGGTGTCCATGGCCCTTCCCCATTTGCTGTAAGAGCACCTGCCTTTTGGCAGTGAGAGCAGGGAACACAGAGGGTGAAGAGCACCCTCTGTGCCACAACCCTGCCTGGCATGTGAGGGCTTGCCTGATGGTGAGAGCTGGGTGAGCACGCTCCACCCCCATCAATCACACATGGGTGTGTACCTGTCCCAGGCACTGGCAAACAGTGCTGCATCCCTCCAAACTATACTTCTGAGGGTTCTTTACAGGAAGGCATGGCATTAAATTGGTATAGTAAGTGCTTTTAATATATGGTGCAGATGTGGCCAATATCTTACCAGCAGTGTAGTAGTCCTATGTCCCACCGAGTTCAGTGAGGTTTACTCCTAGGCAGCGATGGACGAACTTGTCAATTTGAGGTTTCTCATTCTCCTAGTCTGCAAATGAGTTCACCCCAATTTTTTCCACACCAGTTTGCATACACTAAAAACAAAAAGTCTGCACACAAATTTGCCATATACACAATTTTGTACATATCCTTCCCCCACCCCATTGCCCCCCAGTGTTGCTACCCCAATCTACACATTGGGGTAGGATTTATTTTTTTTGGGGGGGGGGTGTTCGTTGAAAAGGTTGAAGTGTGGATTTCGAAGAATTAGCTGTGTCTGCTCTCAGTGAAAGGTAATGGAAAGCAACACCAACTTCCATCAGCTGCAGGCAGCATGGCCAAAAGTCAGAGTTGAAGTCCAGCAACATCTGCAGCGCCAGTGCCCTTCTTCCATTAAGATGCAGCCAGGGATGACATGAGTTCAAATTCCCACTCATCGGTGCCACTCATAACATAACCTTGGACCAGTCGCTATCTCTTACTCTCACTGACATGAGATAACCCCTTGTAGTCTGCCCTGAACTGGTTGGATGATAGGCTGGGAGCAGATATTATATTACTTCCCTTAAACAGGACACTATACTTCTTTTGATGCAGCATAGAATTGCAATAGTTTTTCGTTTTTCTTTTTCCTGTTGCTTCACACTGTTGACTCTTGCTAAGATTGTGGCCTACAAAGACCCCTAGGTCATTTTACAAGCCAGGAGTGAAAGCCACCATCCTGTATTTTTGCATCTGATGATTGCCACTGAAGTCTAAAAAACCTTACATTTGTTCCTATTGAAATTCATTTTGTTAGTTTTTGTCTAGTTCGCCAATCTGTTAAGGTCATATTGCATCCTTGAATAAGGTATCAAGCTACATTTCATTCCTCCTCCACCTAAGCTGAATGTGCATTGCTTTGTTTTAACATTGAATTGATGCCTGTTTAAGGGGGGGGGGAAAACATTCAGGATAAGAAATGATGAAAAGAAGCAGATTTTCAGCCAGATTTTAGACACAAAACTGAACTGTGAATCAGAATGCTGGTGGTGAATATTGTGCATTCTTTGTTTTTATTAAACACAAGTTATTTGTCTCCTAACACACAATATATATCTATATTTATGTATATCTATATTTATGTGCATTTCTTCATCATGAAAGCATGCTAACAGATACAGATTAAACATCTCCATTGTAAAATACATCCTGAATTACAAGACATCATAAAATATCAAGTAAATAAGCAACAGTGTTTACTGAGCCCATGTGAATATAAAATAGACTATGTGTCTATTGACTATGGCTGACAATTGAACAGAGGAGTAGACTGCGTGCTTAGCATGGCAGACCACAGCATATACTTAAAGCACTTTTATACAACTTTAACAATCATGGCTTCCCCATCCACCAAGAAACAGTCCTTTCCTAAACAATTTGCCACTGTTTGAATTTCACCAGAAAATAGCAAGTCTTGAAGCACCCCAACACAAAAGAAAATTTGCAAAGAGGATTTCTGTGTATAAAGATTTCTGTCAATGCAGCTTATCAACTATACTACAAGTCAATAATTTAAGTGCCAACAACATCACATGCATAAATTAACATGTGATGTCAACATGCAGAAAAAGATCACAAAGTGCAAACCAAATAAATATTTTGGTGGCTTTCTGGATGGTGTTTTTGCCATGGATGCAATATATATTTCCAATAAAGGTAAAGGTACCCCTGACCATTAGGTCCAGTCGCGGACAACTCTGGGGTTGCGGTGCTCATCTCGCTCTACAGGCCAAGGGAACTGGTGTTTATCCACAGACAGCTTCCGGGTCATGTGGCCAGCATGACTAAGCCGCTTCTGGCGAACCAGAGCAGCGCACGGAAACGCTGTTTACCTTCCCGCTGGAGCGGTATCTATTTATCTACTTGCACTTTGCTGTGCTTTCAAACTGCTAGGTTGGCAGGAGCAGGGACCGAGCAACGGGAGCTCACCCTGTAACGGGGATTCGAACCACCAACCTTCTGATCGGCAAGCCCTAGGCTCTGTGGTTTAACCCACAGCGCCACCCATGTCCCTTTATGTTTCCAATAGTCAACTTAAAAAAAACACACACCCAACAACCTCTGCTAAACCCTGTATTTCCTGGTTTGGGGATATAAACTTCAGGAATTAATCACATAACTGTTTCATGTACCTGTTTTTTAAAACTTAAATAGGAGCCTTGAAGGAAAGACTATCAGGACCTGGACCCCAGTACTCAGGGGGAGGGAGTTAACCATTTGCACCACCACCTACCATGCTGCAGCCCTGGTGAAATGCTTTCTCACTCCAGAAGCGCTTGGAGAGAAACTGCCATTGATAGCAGCACTGGGCATAACATTAACTAAGTTCAATATCCAAGAGGATATTATATTAGGTACATAGCTCAGATTTGCATGAGTGATTTGAATTAGCAGATACCCACCACTGTGCTGATCTCACAAACACAGACTCCGCTGTTCAGAGGAGTCTAGTCACAGTGCCTTGTCTGCAAGCCCTCCCCCTGCCAAACCCCCACTGATGGCCATTGCAAGGGGCAGGCAGGAACACCAACCACATTCAACACACCAAGGGGGAAGTCTAGCATGCCCCATAAAACTTATTTTAGTAATGTTGAGGTTGGCCAAACCTCACTGTCCATTCTGAGGGTAATTTTGGAAGGATGCATGATGAAAAATTGAGCCTGCCAAAAAGCCACATCACAAGAAACATCATGAAAGTTGCATTGAAGGTGCTCAGCATAGGACGTCTCACCATCAAGAACATGGCTTGCAGAATGCCTCCAAGATATTCTAGAATGGCATTGTGAGGAATTGTGTGTAGCTTCCGAAGCCCTCTTTTCCATGAAACCACAGGAAGCATCCTCTTTTACCAGTGCCAGATCAACACTGTCCACTAATCCTGTTTCTCATATATATATATATATATATATATATATATATATATATATGTCATTGAATCATAGAATTGTACAGTTGGAAGGGACCCCAATGGTCATATTCATCTTCTTGCTATGCAGATTATATTGATTGATTGATTGATTGATTGATTGATTGATATAATTGTATCCAACATTAGTTCTAGACCGATTTGAAATTAATGATTATGGCTAACGAATATTAATTCCAGTAGGTTTACTCTCAGTAGAACTTAGATAGATACAACTCCCCTCTCTCTTTTTACTGCAAAGATGAATGTACAAAGCATTAAACTGGAGTCTGATGTGATCTACTTGGATTTGGTTGGGGGCTGATTCACTGAACGTTTCCTGTGGGTCTGTCTCCATCTTTCCCTGGTCCACCTCCCACGATTCTCCACAACTTCATGCAGGAGGCTGGCATAGTTATACTCGTCGTTTTCAAGTGAGATCTCATCATACCGGGGCAGACTAGTGGAAGCAACATCAGCTGATGAGAGCGGAGAGGGATGACTTTCCTGGCGGACTTTAGATTGAGCAGATACTGGTTTAGATGACTGTTTCCTTTTCACAGCTGTGGGGCCCCTCATTGTTTTGAGTCCAGACTGTGAGGCAACTGCTGCATTTGATTCTGGCTGAAGTGAAAACTCGGGTTGGTTAGCTTGTTTTACCTCTGTCTTTAATTCAGTTCTGCCACTGACTATGTGATCACCCTCTTTGGGGCATGTGCTCAGATCATGCTGTCTTTGTAGATCTACAGTGAATTCAGATTTTCCAACATCTGTTGGCTCTAAGGCAATTTCGGCCCTTGATTCTTGCTGATATGGAAACTCTGTTTCCTTGGCTAGATTTGCCTCTTGGTTTAATTCAAGCTGACCCTTATCGAATGGCTGACATGCCTTCCTGGGATGAACCTCTAGCCACTCTTCCTGAAATTCTGAACTCCCAACATCCAGTTTCTCTTCAAGGTTGAGAGTAGGCAGGAGGAACTGTCCTTTAAATGATTCTCTAATACTTAACACATTAGACCTCTGCCCCAAACATTTTATCTCATAAGGCCATGTCAAAGCGCGCTTCAAAGAAACTGAGCAGTTTCCACCTGCTTTTATAACCACATCTTTTTTAGGTGGGGCATCAATTTGCTCTTCAACTGTTGTCGTAGCAACACTTAAATATAAGAAGGGTTCGGGATTTTCAACACTGTCACAGCCTTTACTATCATCATTCTCAGATGCTCCCAAAATACAATTTTCCTGCAAACTTTTTGTTGCCACTTCTGAAGTAACTTTCATATCTGGAGTTTCTATATATACTTCAGTCGGGAATGAGCTCACATTGCAATGCCTCTGAAATTCCTTTCTGTTGTCTGTTTCTAGCTTGTGGTAATACCACAGTTCCATAAAGTTGCACAGGTCCTCACTTCTCACGTGCATTTTTTCATTTAACAGTGTGAAGGGAGTTGTGAGATGCCCTTGCTTTTCATCAGCCAGATTGGTGGCCTGACACGGTCTGGGGCAGAACTCTGCCTGCAACAATATGGCTGAGGCAGACTTGGCACGAACTCTCACCAACCTAGAGTGAGACATCACCCCTGTCTCTGTGATTCTGATCTTTCCATCAGTCAGTCTGTGTTCAGCCATGGAATCAACACAGTCAGATGGCTGACCATTGGTGGTTAGATCAGTCGCTTCTTTGCTTGGCTGGATTTGTTGATTACTGCGTTTCACCATCCAGATCAAAAGCAGCATCAGAATGAACGAAATCAACACTGCCCAAAAGTAAAAAAAGAAAGGTAAAATATTAGCTGAAAAGGGTACATGAATTCCAAAAGAAGCAGATAGAACATAACAAGGTAAGAAAAGCAGACCTGATCAGGCCAATGACCCATCTAGGGCTTCCCATTGGGGTATCTGGTTGGCCACTGTGAGAACAGGATGATGGACTAGATGGACCTTGGACCTGATCCAGCAGGGCCTTTCTTGTGTTCTTATGTCAACAGAGATATGTTATCAAACATTAACAGATACACAGAAACATACCTAAACATACCAGCAAAGCTGGTAGTCCAACTTTATGGAAGCTGTTCTCAAAGGCTGATGAAAAGAAGTCTGGCAGGCAGTTCAAGTCAGAGATGTTCCAGACAGGAATCCCTTCTAGGTTTGGTGGACTTCGGCAAATGACAGAGGCAGCATCTTCAAGCAGTGACGCGTTGATCAACTCTGAAAAGACACACGGTCTTGAACAGTGGAAAAACTGACTGGGAAATGATTCACTGGTGAAATCTATTATGTCTGGTTCCATTTATATTTTCAATGGTTTATGCAATTAATTTTTTTAAATAAAAATGAAGGCATTGCTTAAATTGGTTTTAAAAGTTAGCCTGTAGGATTAAGCCAGCCTCTCTCAAACTTCTGATTGGAAGAGGCCCACTTCCCACTTTTAAACTGTTCAACCTGTGTTGAATCACATTAAGTGTTGAATCTACAAACAGTAACTATAAAGATTTAACAGAAAGATATTATTTATCACATTGATCACAGTTTACAAAACTCCCAAAAGCACAATTTCAAAAAGAGTTGTCTAATTTAAGAGAGCACATATATTTACAATAACATTATGGCATTAATTCACTAACACCTTGTAAACACATGACGTATTTTTTGCTCCATAAGACACACTTTTTTCTTCCTAAAAAGTAAGGGGAAATGTGTGTGCGTCTTATGGAGCGAATGCACGGTCCCTGGAACCAAATTGCCCAGGGGCAAAAAGCAGATCATGCTTTTTTCTTTTTTCTTTTTTTTGAAAGAGGGAAGTAGGTGTTGAAACAAAGCCGCTGATCATTTGCCGATAGGGGAGAGAGATAAGGGATGCTAGAGATAAAGGAGGCTGCCTGGGAGGGGAGAGGTAAAGACAGCAAACTTGCAAAGGAGGGAAACAGGAAGACTAAAGCAATAAGGAGAGAAATTAGAAGAAAAGGAGGAGCAAAAAACTGCTCCAGCTAAGGAAAAGTCACTAAGGCAAACAAGAGGGAAGGGAGTGTTGAAAGGAAGCAGCTGATCGGTGGGATTGGAAGAGAGATAAGGGACACTAGCGGAGGCTGCCTGGGAGCGGGGAGGTAAAAGCCCATGGATCCTCAGGATTTTTGCATTGGGTCACCCCAAATTCACCATCAGATCACATAGCATGTCCATGGCTGCAGCCTGCACCAAAAAAAAATCAGGCATCCACTGTTTCCTGGGGTTGCAATGGTGCAAAAATGTGGTTACAAAGCACGGATCCACATGGATCCTCAGGATTTTTGCATTGGGTCACCCCAAATTCACCGTCAGATCACATGTCTGTGACCACAGCATGAACCACAAAAATCATGCATCAACTGTTTCATTCAGAATATTTTTTTCTCTTGTTTTCCTCCTCTAAAAACTAGGTGCGTCTTATGGAGCGAAAAATGCGGTAATTCGTTTTGGTTCTAAACCATCTCTGTTTTTATAATCAATATATGTCTGCCATTTGACCCCCAAAATTATTTTGTCTCTGTCTTCCTTCCAGGTGGGTCCAAAAAAACCCTGTCAGTTTGGCCATAGCTGCAAAACCCCACAATTAATCAAAATATGATTTAATTTTAAGTGTCATTTGTAACCTCCAAGATGTTGCAGAGAGAATTCTAGCTGCTTTCAATTAATTTTAATTGTATTGTTTTCACAACTAGGTTGTTAGCCACCTTGGGCACCTACCTTGCAGGAATAATCCAAAATCCTGAAGTTGACAGGAGCAGTTCCATGGATTTCCACCAAGCTTCAACACTGGGAGCATCAGCCCATCAAATACATCTCTTGCTAAAGTTGTTAACTTATTGCCAGACAGGTCAAGCAGCGTTAGTTTGGTCAGGTCCTTAAAACTCTTGCTAGATATCTGATAGATCTGATTGTTTGCTAAGTTCAGCGATGTAAGGTTGGAAAACCCTGAAAAGTCCTTTGGTCCTATACTGGCAATGAGGTTCTGAGCCACTGTCAGGTTTTCTAGATGCCCAGGGTTGGAAAGCCAGGAGGCTGTAACCTCAGTCACACTGTTCTGGTATAAACTTAGTTTGCGGAGGTTTTGGAAAATGCTGAATGCTCCCGGTTTGATTTTCGTTATGCCGCTGTTTGCTAGGGCGAGGCTGGACACTGATGCCAAGCTGGGGCTACTGAAGACCGTGGAGTTGAGAATCCCGATGTTGGTCACCACAAAGAGAATGGAGGTCAACCCTTCTGGGAAACCTAGAAGTGGCAGAAACAGAAAATGCTTTATGTTAGAGATAGCTTTATGTTTTATATGTGACTGTGTTGGGAAAGGAAAGCCTCTCCTCCTCAAGGAGGGGAGGAGTTGTGAGCAGGAGCCGTTTCCCACGTTGGCCGGGGCCATTTAGCCCCCTGCCCAGCTGCCCCGGCTACCACGCCACACCCCCAGGTGGCCAGCCAATTGGCTGGAGGCTTGGGGGTGGGGTTTAGCCGCTCAAACGCGGCCGCAACAGCGTTTCCCAGCCATTGTGCTGCTGCTTCTGGTTGGATCACGCACCCACCCTCCCTTAGTCCATTGCTTGGTTCTTGACATTGCTATAGACCTGTGGTTGGTCACCTTGGTCGGCCAAGGGGCCTGGTAGGAATTTTTATCCAACTGGCAAACTGGCACCGGCCACTTGGTTTTTCGCCTACCTCGTAGCAAATCGTCACAATTTTTGGGTATTGGCGGTTAGGCATTGGAATATGGTTGTGTGTTGGAGGGCAGGGTGTGGCCATTGCCTACCCCTCCATTTTATGGGTACAGTGGTACCTCAGGTTAAGTACTTAATTCATTCCAGAGGTCTGTACTTAACCTGAAACTGTTCTTAACCTGAAGCATCCACTTTAGCTAATGGGGCCTCCTGCTGCTGCCGTGCCGCCAGAGCCCGATTTCTGTTCTTATCCTGAAGCAAAGTTCTTAACTCGAAGCACTATTTCTGGCTTAGTGGAGTGTGTAACCTGAAGCGTATGTAACCTGAAGCGTATGTAACACCTGAAGCGTATGTAACCCAAGGTACCACTGTAAAGGAATCCGGCAGTCAATGATCCTGTCCGATGCCCTTGCTGGTGGCCAGGGCCATGGCACGACCCCCCAGTGACATCAGGGGGAGCTTTCAGTTGTATTTGCACCAACAGGCTCCTCCCACTGGTGGTTAACCCTTGTTAGACTCACCCCTCCCTGAGGGGGTGGAGTCACGCTCTGTTGCTTTATCTAATGCCTAAGCCAATACCTCTCACATGCTGTAATCAATAAAGTTGTGGCCTTTTTTAGCCCATTAACCTAATATACCGTGTCCATGTGTCTTTCTTATCCTCAAGAAGGTGGCGGGTCCTTGAATCTCAACTAGCTTACCATATAAAGGTAAAATTTGCTCCACACACATTCACCTCTGTTACTACCCACCACTGGCATGTGACCTCAAGACAGTTTCCCAGCAGGGATCTTCTTAAAAACCCAAACTTAAAGTGATGACTTTGGAAGCTTGTCCCTCTACAATTTTCTAACAATCATGCCCCAGCATAGATAAGTCTTCGGGAGGATGAATGACTCACCATTTGGAATGGAAGAGCAGAAGTACTCCTTTTCAAGGACACACTGGAACCTGGAAAGCTTTATTGATACCAAAACCAAAATAAGTCCAAAGAGCACTGCAACATTAAGGAGAGGCTATGTTAGTCCAACGCACCAAAAAAATGTACATACAACTCCTTCAGTTTCTCTCTCCCTCTAGTGGACAAGTCCTTGCTAAAAGCAAAACTAATACAGTATCTCTAAACCTACCATCTAAGGAAAGCACCAGGGTAGGGAGAGGGGAAAGGGAGAGAGAACTCTGTCTGCAACTGGCAGGTCAACCTTGTAAACAAAGGAAATGATTTTGCCCAGGCCCTCCAATCCCAGTCCTTTGGGGAAGGGATGTTGAAGTAAATAAATCACCTAGTTCTCGCGGGTTTCTTGCACTTTTGCAAGTTCTGTCTCTATGCAGGAATTTTAATAAAATGGTTCTGGTGGAACACATCGAGTTGCCTAGCATAGTATGGTCTACACTGGCTGGCAGCAGCTCTCCAAGCATTCAGGCACAGAGTCTTTTCCAGTTCTACCCGGAGAGGCTGGGGGCTGAAACTACGACCTTCTGGATATGAAACAGATGTCCTTAAGGCCTGAGTCCAACCCACACCCACCCTTTATCCAGCCTTTTCTTTCGAACCCTATTGTTCTTCCTCGTATATTCCTTTTGGTGTAATCTTGCTGTTGTTTTTTAGTCTATCTTTTCCTGTTTGATTATTTTGCTTCAAGTTCCGTGTAGTCTTCTGCTCCGGAAGAAAGGACCTGAACCAGCAGATTCTATTTACAGGAATCAAGACATTACGAAGAATTTTCTGACAGTAAAGAGTTGGTCAACAGTGGAACGGGCTCCCTCAGAAAGTAGTGAACTCTCCATCCTTGGAGGTTTTTTAAACAGGTTGGATGGCAACCTGTTGGGAATTCTTCAGGTGGGATTCTTGCATTACAGATGGTTGGTCTAGATGGCACTTTGGGGTCCCTTTCCAACCCCACAATTCAATGATTCTTGTCTGTTTTATTCAGTCCATCAAAAGTGATTTTATTCAACTATAGTCTGCCTTTAAAAATTCTTAGTGTTGGGGGGGGGCGTTTCATACACCCACACCCATTCCAAGTTTTATTTCTTTATTTAGCCAGCCACCAAGCCATAGTTTGCCTTATTAAGTCATTATTGTCACTTACAAGTATTATTGAAGCATTTCCCGTAGAGGGAGACATCTCTGGGTCGGTGTGTGCTTGTATCTATTTCACACATCAACCAGTGTCTTACTGGACTATAGCATTGTATAACACACACAGCCACCGTTGCAAGCTGCAAAGCATCACACAATACACATTTTGTGCTCCACTCTGGGGGTTGTTATATGAACAGGTTATCTAAATGAATTTTTCTCTCCTCTCCTCCCTAAAAGTGTGCTATTTAAACAAGTGGGAACTGCAACAAATTGCTGCAGTGCAAAGTGTGTCTGTTCAGTGCTTCATGCAGCTTGTGAACCAACCATGCACTCTTCATTGTCACATCCTTAAAACCTATCAAATGTAGCTGTTTTGTTGGATTTCTTAGCCTGCCCCTCATTTTCTCTTCCCAAAAAGATTTTTCCCTATTTCTAAAAACCTGGGGGTGAGGAGGGTTTAGGAGCATGCCACCCCCACCCCAGTTGCTTGGTTATCTTCTTCTTCTTCTTCTTTGGCGATTACTCGTAGCCTAGTTGGATTGTCTTCCATAAACACAGTTATAACAATGAGTCTGTAAGTGACTGTGGAGGCACAGTGAGGACATTGATTCCTGGGAGGGAGTTGATCACGGTGTGGATTTGCCAAGTGTGCCTTCCTCTTAGCATGTTTCTCCCTTGCGTCCTGAGTTTGAGTGTTTTCAAAGCCCATGACACCTTTGGTAAAGGCTGTTCTCCAACTGGAGCTCTTGCAGGCAGTGTTTCCCAGTTGTCGGTGTTTATACAGTGGTACCTCGGGTTAAGTACTTTATTCGTTCCAGATGTCTGTTCTTAACCTGAAACTGTTCTTAACCTGAAGCACCGCTTTAGCTAATGGGGCCTCCTGCTGCCACCGCGCCACCAGAGCACGATTTCTGTTCTTATCCTGAAGCAAAGTTCTTAACCCAAGGTAATATTTCTGGGTTAGCGGAGTCTGTAACCTGAAGTGTATGTAACCTGAAGTACCACTGTACTACATTTTTTTTAGATTTGCCTTGAGACAGTCTTTAAACCTCTTTTGTTGACCACCAGCATTACGCTTTCCATTTTTAAGTTCGGAATAGAGTAGTTGCTTTGGAAGACAATAATCAGGCATCCGCACAACATGACCAGTCCAACGAAGTGGACCTTGGTAATAGCCCCACTTTGGCTACCCAGCTCTCAAAATGAGATGTGGATGCCATCAGTCAGTTTTGGTTTCCATCACCTTCTTGTCTTGAACTCAGGCCCCCACGTTGTTGCAGCAATTTGAAATTGTGTTTCTTTTAATCCTCATGAAAATTCATCACCATCTGAGTGTGAATTTCTCCTAACAGACACGCTTTTGTATGCAGTTTTGACTAATATATGCATTTTTATATGTTCTCCCCTCACCCAATATATTCACTTGTTTGCACACTGCTCACTTAAATATGCCCTTTTGCATACTTTTGAGAACTTAAAAAAAATGGCGAATTGGACAAGGTATAAAACAAACTCCTTCATTTATATAACTGGGTGTACTCTTTAGTGAAACCTCCCTTGGAAGTTTCGGATGGAAGCAGTGAAAGTCAAAGCACAGAAAATTATTGGGACATTGATGAAGTTCTGTTACAACAGCTGATTGAACCTGCCATGAAATATTTGATAGTAAAGTGCTTACTCAAATTCTTTATGACACTGAAATCTGGGGCTCTGATTTGAACTCCATTAAGGTTTTGGAAACCGGGCAGAATATTTTATTTTCCCTAGAAGCTATACTCTCTACCACCAGGAATATCAACAGCTCTTCTTTGTTCAGAATCTGGGACGCCAACAATTAAGGCAAGAGCAAACTGTGTTCAGTTAAAGTATATTTTAAAAATTGCTACTATGTCTTTTGAGCTTTTTCCTGCACTGTGCTATATAGAATTGAGTGATAACCTGCTCTGGAAAGCAGCTTGTCAAGATGTTTTAAACCATTAACCACTGAGCTCTGGTTTGACCTTGAATAAGTGTCAACTAAGAGACTAGCATGAGTTTGACCAAACTGCGGGAGGCAGTGGAAGACAGGAGTGCCTGGCATGCTCTGGTCCATGGTGTCACAAAGAGTCAGACATGACTAAACAACTAAACAACAACAGCAAGAGATTGGCTCTTCTGGATAGAACCCAGAATCTGGATTCTGGACAGAATCCAGAAATGACCTGCAACTAATTAGAAATACCATATTTTCCCCTTGGTATCCACTCCAGAGTATTTTAGAGCTCAAACTCTCACCAGCTTCCTCAATAAATGTCTTTATTGAGCTGCATTTTCAAGTAATGCCTATTGCAGTTTTCGATGGCTGCTACAGCAAACAAGTTCATGTATGTGGGCAGAGTTTGCATTTGTAGTTAACCTCAGGTGGAAGACATCGCTCATTATCTGTTAGCCTGCCTCTTATCCAGAGACTTTCTGAACCCTTTATTCACATAAGCAAGTAGCCACACCCTGGCAGAAATAGGTTGGTTTCTTTTGAGTGACAATAATGGCTTTATAACACAGAGAGTAGCCCTCTATGCATTGACTGAAAAATAATAATAAAATAATCAGGAAAAAGGAGTTATATAAAATCTCTATAAATTGTCATGGTGGTTGTTTCCAGTTCCTGTCCCATGCCATGGCAACGACTCTCTCAACATAGGAGAGAGGCACAGGCTGAATAAAGAGGATGGAAGTGGTTAAACCAAACCTATAAACCCTGATGTTGGGAAAGATGGAGGGCACAAGGAGAAGGGGACAACAGAGGACGAGATGGTTGGATAGTGTTCTCGAAGCTACCAGCATGAGTTTGACCAAAGTGCGGGAGGCAGTGGAGGACAGGAGTGCCTGGCGTGCTCTGGTCCATGGGGTCACGAAGGGTCGGACACGACTAAACAACTTAACAACAACATAAACCTATTGAGGTACAGGAGGTACTGGAGACCTGCTGTCACCTCAATGGCTTGCCCCTGCACAGGGACAGGTGGAGGTGCTGGGTGCTTACTCACTTTGCCTGATGTGAAACCCCCGAAATCGCCATTGGATGTGGAGGTTCTCCTTATAATTGGGTTTTATTTGGCATTAAGAATAGGTGCACACAAGAAGGCATGCACATTATAACTGCAAACAGCCAGCTGCATGGAACTGAGGTTTGAACCTGGGAGAAGAATCTATCTTGTGCTGGAGGTGGATGGAGGAGACGGGGGCTCTCTGCTATATTTTATGGAAGATTTTACGTTTATGGATCAGCAAGCCTCTCCTAATATTGAATTTTAAGATATACAAGTGAGGGTGGTTTGATGTGTGATGAAACGTTGAGATTTAAAAGAATATGTAAAGCTGTGTGAGGCTTGAAAGAAGTTAAAAGAGGGAGAGAGCTGTTTTGTTTGGAAGGTTTTCACTGGGAGTTGGAGCCTACCCCCCCAAAAAAAAAGAAGACTGAAAGAGATGTTGGGATATAACCTTTTTTTTTTTTTAATGCTATGGTAGCAGCAAAAGGAAAGTTGCATGAGGGCTTTTTGGACGTTGGAAGAGGAATGACACCACCTTTCCCCTCCTTTCCCAGCCAGAAGAAGAAATGGCAAATCTCAGAACTTGTTGGTTTTCGGTGCTAGTAGAAGGGAGGGATACTGCTTGAGTATTATGGGAAAGAGCTGAGCAGGAGAAAGAAGAGGGTTTCACCTTGAAGTTTTCAGCCCCCAACCAGGCTGAAATACAACAACAGTGGGAGTAAGGAGATAGCCCTAAATGCTACAGGAAAAAGGAAAACATATATAAGGCCAAGAGACTAACAACTGACACAGGATGAAAAAGGAAAAAGCTATGGGTCCTCACCTGAAGCCTTTTTTGGGGGGGGGAGTTAAATAATAAAATACAGTGGTGCCCCGCAAGACGAATGCCTCGCAAGATGAAAAACCCGCTAGACGAAAGGGTTTTCCGTTTTTGAGTTGCTTCGCAAGACGAATTTCCCTATGGGCTTGCTTCGCAAGACGAAAACGTCTTGCGAGTCTTGAGATTTTTTTTCGCTCCCCCCCCCTTTTTCTAAGCCGCTAAGCCGCTAATAGCCTTTTAGCCACTAAGCCGCTAAGCCTTTAATAGCCGCTAAACCGCTAATAGCGCTAATCCGCTAAGCCGCTAATAGGGTTGCTTCACAAGACGAAAAAACCGCTAGACGAAGAGACTCGCGGAACGGATTATTTTCGTCTTGCGAGGCACCACTGTAACACCAAATAGAAATCATTAAGAGTGCAACTGTTAATTGTATGATAATTTGGGGAAATGGAATGTAATAGAAATAAATGAGAATATGAAACACAGTAATATTAGATAATAAAGATCCATCAGGAACTGTATGTGGGAAGCCTCTTAACAAAATTGTACTAACTTGGAACTAATTTGTGTAACTAGGTTTATATTGGAAAATCAATAAAAATAATTGGCAAAATAAATTAATAAATAAATTGTTGTGGTGATTCAAAGGTTTAATCTGAAATCAAGATGGATTTGAGTTTGTTGGTGTATCATGGATATTAGCTTATATTATGGGCGTACGTTGCTTTATTAAGGCTGTTACTATAGGTTTGCCATGGCCTTTGGCTAGAGCAATAAATTTATGGACTGAACTGATTGGAGAACTGCACTGCAAATTTTTGAAAGCTTTCTCTCCATCTCTAGCCAGAACTCTGTACCTGAGTTCAGTTGATTGCTATTGTGTTTCCAAGCCCAATTCAAGGTGCTCACAGTTACATTTGAAGCCCAAATGACCATCTCCCTCCCTGTTGAACCTTTTAATACTATTATGTATATAGTACATTAAGTCTTAGTAGTTCCTCTTAGTAGTTCCACCACCCATAGAAGTTCGAGAGTGGTAGCAGCCTGGGAGAGGGCATTATCTGTGGAAGCATCAGTGCTTCTGGCATCTTCACTGTAGAGTTTTTGTCATATACTGAAGAAACATCTCTATCCTACCCTTTGACACTTAAGTTATATATACTTCAGGACCCACCCTGTTCTTATTTATTTATTGCATCAACTGTATACCCCACCTCTTTCTCTGAGGAGCTCAAGGTGGCATACATCATCCTCAAGCTCCTCATTTAATCCCCACAATAACTATACAAGGTAGTCAAAACAAAAAAAATTCCTTCCAGTAGCACCTTAAAGACCAACTAAGTTAGTTCTTGGTATGAGCTTTCGTGTGCATGCACACTTCTTCAGATACACTGAAGAATCTGAAGAAGTGTATCTGAAGAAGTGTGCATGCACACGAAAGCTCATACCAAGAACCAACTTAGTTGGTCTTTAAGGTGCTACTGGAAGGAATTTTTGTTGTTTTGACTATGGCAGACCAACACGGCTACCCATCTGTATACAAGGTAGGTTAGGCTGACCAGCAGCAGCAATTGGCTCAAGGTCACCCGGTGAGTTTCATGGGGATTTGAACCCTGGTCTCCCGTATACTATCCCAATCCTCTAACCGCTATACCACATTGAGTGCAACCCTCTCAGCCCCAAACACCTACCCCCGCCCCCCAAAAAAACCTCCTGATCCCTTCCTCCTTGCACTGGATATTTTGGGCAACCTGAATGCCGCTGTGTTGGTCCTGATACAGAGCAGTTTTGCCATTTGCTTTAAGGCAGTGGTGTCCAAACTTTTTTCAGAGAGGGCCAGATTTGATGAAGTGAAGGGCCGACCCACCAAAATTGTTAACCTTTTTTTAGGATTGAAGTTGTTGCGCTTTTTTATTATTTTAGCCCCAAGTTCCAAGTTGTTGAGCTCTTTTTTTTTTTTTAAGGATTGAAATTGTTCGAGTTCTTTTTTAGGAACTGCCATAGGGACTGCCATAGGGGCCAGATTAAACCGACTGCCGGGCCAGATTAGGCCCCCGATACGAACTTTGGACATGCCTGCTTTAAGGCATCTGTAATGGTGTGTTTTTACATTGCTCCGACCAGCTGTGGGAGCTTAAGGGTGATGGGTGCGTAACAAATCAAAATAAAACAATAATTACAGCACCTGCAACTAAAAGTTTGTCGTTCATCCACATGGTACTCTAAGAGTCCCCTACTTACATTTCATGTTGGACAGGCTTTTCCTTTCAGCGAGAGCAGCAGTCAGCTTGGGCTTCTTCGTGAGCACACTAGCAACTTTGCCTGGGAGGTGGGAGGTATAAAACTGCAGGGCTGGTGCTTGCAGCCTCCATTTGGTGGACACAGGCAAGTCGAAACCTGTTACATGTTGAACGCTTCCCTTCTGTGGGGGGCTTTTCATTCCCCCGTGAGGCCTCGTGCATGGTTAGTATAGCATCGTCTCCATAGCATCACCATGGAGTCTTCCCATTACCAGTGAATACGTTAACCATTTTACAGGATAAACCAAGAGCCTTGCTCCATTTTCCTAGTCTCCCCCTTCCCAACACAGTCTGGTGGGGATGTAGAGAATTATAGATCAAATATGAATATGTCTGGCCTTGGGGTCCTTCAGTCATTGCTAAGTCACTGGGAATTGGATGCCTTTGTCCAGAAGAAACCAAACTTTTTAGAGGGTCATTAATGAAGATGACAACGGGCTTATAGGCGACCCTTGTCCATTCGCGCTGCACACATGTACAGTAGATCATAATAATTTTATTATTTATACCCCGCCCATCTGGCTGGGTTTCCCCAGCCACTCTGGAGTGTCTAACCTGAGTCATGCCTCCTGGTGCCGCCCAAATCATTTCCCAAAAAGAAACTGTGCAACTGTCTTGAAAACTGAGTGGCATTACACCCCACCCACCCAGTCCAGTTGCACATTCTATACATTTCTTCACAAGCATCGTTGTGATACACCACAGAGCAACCGATCCGCTGCAACATTTTGCAATGTTGTTTTGCAATAGAGCTTGAGAGGTGCATTCGCTTTGGGGGGCTCCATGCTGGTGGTGGGTGAGGCGAGAGTCAAAAGTGGGTGAAGCAATGAATGCAGATTTTACCTTTGTACAGGAGGCTAGTTTCTACACACACTCCTACCTATCCTCTATCAAGGCAAGTGAAATATACTCGGAGTCGAGAGTGGATTTCCTGCTCTTTATTCAGCTCATAGTGGTGAGGAGGAATTGAAGTTTCCCCAGAATGTCTGCCTTATATACATTATTTACACAATGGGCCCCACGTGATTGGCTAATTCCGGGATTCTCCTGTAGGCCAATCAGGCTGCGGATTCCCTTCCACCTGGAGCTCCTGTGGGTAGCTCCTGTGGACCAATCAGACTGCTGCATTCCGGATCCTATTGTTCTAGGACCAATCAGACTGCTGCATTCTGGATCCTATTGTTCTAGGACCAATCAGACTGCTGCATTCTGAATCCTATTGTTCTAGGACCAATCAGACTGCTGCATTCTGGATCCTATTCAACTCAGTACATAACAGCAAGGAAGGGTTCATTATTTCAAAGACACATCCCAGTCAAGCAGCAACAGTCAAGTGTGGTGCAAAATAGGGCCTATGAAGGATGTGGCCTGAGGAGAACATTCCAAGGGCCAGAAAGAGAGGCATATAGGGCCACATTTGGCCTCTGAGCATGGGAGTTGCCATCCCTATATTACATCTTCCAAGTTTGGAATGGGGGCCTTGGGCAAGGTGCCCCAAGTAGATCCCCTTCTCCCTCATCTCCAGGGCATTGATGCCCACTCACGTGCCCTCTCCCTCTGGCCCCAAATCTGCACCACCACCTGGAGGGAGAAAGCAAGACAACTGGAGGCTGCCTTTGCTGCATCTGCTCGCTGCTAGTAGTCTTAGAGAGGTCAGGTAAACAGGCAGTGATGGCAGGAAAGAGCAGCAAGCAGGCAACAGGAACACCGTAAGGGACCAGGAGAACCTGGAACAGCAGGACCAGGACACAAACTTGCAGAAAATGGGTGTTTGCTAAGTGATAGATTTAGATACCTCTGCACAAATTAATGTTTCAGAGGTCTCATCCATGCTGTGCTTTGTTTGCGATGGGCTTGGTTGCCTTGTAAACAAAGTGTGTTTTTCACGCAGAGGGAGGAGAAGGAGATCTGGATTTTAGTACAAAAGGCTCCTCAACACCGCTGCCCATACCAGAAACAGGAGCCTCTAAAGTAGGAGTTATTAACCTTTTTGGACCAGTGGGCACATTTTGGATTTTGAGAGTGTTGTGGGCACAAAATGGTTGCCACAGGGAACATGGCAGAACACAAAATTAGAAACAACCACTCCTCGCAACCTTCCGTTTACCATGGGAAGTTAGCTGTGTCCTGCTGCTCCTGATTGTGAAGATCACACATTACTGATGGCATGCACACAGAATGACGGTGTGCTGTCTAATAAAAACAGGAAGCATTCCTCAAAACCAGGAAAAATATACAAGGGGGCCACATCATACTCACACTAATTTCACAGAAGCGGCTTAGAAGGTACCTGCACATTTTGCCCCATAACTTTCTTTCTAGGAGGACAAGAGACTTTTATTTTTCAATAAGTATTCAGTCTGGGGCATTTGCCCAGGGGCAGCAATTAAGGCTTTTGTGGGCATCAGATTAGTGACCCCTACTCCAGAGTGTGGCAGTGTGCCCTCTGCAGTGGCATAGGCCTCGGCAGATGACCAATGACTCAATTATAAAGGGATTAGTGATGAGAAGCTGAAAAGTCGCTGCCCTCCCAAACTACCAGTCCTAAGCCAAGAGGGGAATGTCAACTCTGACCTTTTTTGCAGGCAGTTCGCTTCAAAGGGATACAGCAGGCTTGTCCACCATAACCCCAAGTAGCCACCAAGGAAATTATTAAGTCATTGACCAATTCATTTATTTGGAATCTATAAACGAATGCTGCTCCATCAAACCCATTCTTAGTCTCCAACTGCAGCTGCTCCTTTTTCTTGGCTGCCAACTTTCTTTTTAGAAAGCAGCCGCTGTGTGCAAATAATAATAATAATAATAATAATAATAATAATAATAATAATAATGTAATCTCCTATTGACAGCCTTAGAAATCATACAATCACTGAATCAAATTTCCAGGATACTGAGTACCTTCCCATGAAGCTAGGTCCTGCTTGTGGAGTTCCCAGTGGGGCATCTGGCTGACACTGTGACAACAGGATACTGGACTACATAGGCCTTTGGCCTGATCCAGCAGGGCTCTTCCGATGTTCTTAATGCTGCATATCCTTTAGGTTTCATATGTAGCATATAAAGGTGCCTATCATTCCCTCTACACTAATAGCAAACTTAGCAGAAGCCACTGGCAAGCCTGAAATATGAGGGAGCAAAAACTAATTTTAAAAATGCATTGTAACATCAGAGATCTTGAACATGTCCCAATGAGAAATGGTTCTCATGAACAGGCAGCTGAGTTCAGCTCTTTAACTATGACAGTGGTGTCCAGTTCAGGAAGAAAAATTATTCATGTACAGAGCTAGGTTAAAAGGAGGCTAGTATCACAAAAATGTTTTCTTGATCAGTTTTGCTACCTGGTTTAATATTTGCATAGACCAGATCTTCCTGACAGGTCTTCCTGCAAGCCAAACTTTTCTTTGTTATGAAGCAGGGGTGGCAAATCCTGTGACCTTTCAGGTGCTGCTGGATGGCCAACAGTCAGGGGTGATGGGCCACAGGTTCTCTATTCCGGTTTTTAAGAAAAGAATTTTGTTATTCAAGGATCTTGATGAAGTGATTGGACTAGGCAGTAAAAAACTTGGCAGGCTAGATGCCCTGTTCAGAACACCCAAGGTCTGCACCCAAGCACTTGTGCACATCCACTGAAATGCAAACACACGCCACTAGGCTCTTACAAACTTCTGCTTGCACTCAATGGGAGGAAAGCCCTGGCCACTTCTTACACTACCGTGGTAAAGTAATCTCTTTGCAATCCATTGCTGCCACCCACTACTTCCCAACAGTACTTGAAATATCTGAACTAACCTTGAGGCTGCTTCTTGGTATTTTTAAACTGTGTAATTGTTAGCAGCCCTAATTTTCTTGAATGGTGGACTATGCCCAAAATAAGCAAGCTAAGAGTCATCTCCATGCTTTTCTTGTTTTCAACCACTCAGCTAACCTTTCCCTTGGTGAAATAGACATGTATTGTCAAGTGATAACTGATGGTTGGGTTTTTGAAGTTGTTGTTTTAAGAAACCTTTCAAAGATCCACTGTGCTGTGTTCAGGACTAGGGGCTAAGTCAGGGTAGTTTGGATTTCTATTTACTTGTGAACCAAAAAACTGTTTGTTTCAAATGGTCCCTATTCTCAATAATGCCAGTGAGTCTGAAGTTAAGCAGCTACAAAGGAAGGAAGTCCTCCCATGAAGCCAAGAGAAAGTTTCCCTATGTAGCATACATAGCCAAAATGAAGGAATGGGTTTCTGAGCAGGCAGTTTAAAATTCTAAATCAGACCACTGGTCTATCTAGTTTAGTACAATCTACAATGACTGGCTCCCCTGGGTTTCAGAATTTCCCAGCCCTACTTGGAGATGCCAGAGATAGCGCCTGGGACCTTCTGCATGCAAAGCAGATGCTCTACTACTGAGCTATGACCATGTAGTGGTATGTGACATTTAGTAGCATACATAGCCAAAATGAAGGAATGGGTTTCTGAGCAGGCAGTTTAAAATTCTAAATCAGACCACTGGTCTATCTAGTTTAGTACAATTTACAATGACTGGCTCCCCTGGGTTTCAGAATTTCCCAGCCCTACTTGGAGATGCCAGAGATAGCGCCTGGGACCTTCTGCATGAATGAAGGAATGGGTTTCTGAGCAGGCAGTTTAAAATTCTAAATCAGACCACTGGTCTATCTAGTTTAGTACAATCTACAATGACTGGCTCCCCTGGGTTTCAGAATTTCCCAGCCCTACTTGGAGATGCCAGAGATAGCGCCTGGGACCTTCTGCATGCAAAGCAGATGCTCTACTACTGAGCTATGACCATGTAGTGGAATGTGACATTTAGTAGGGAGTAATCACACTGTCCAAAGAGTAATATCACCAGTGTTTAAAAACATAGCCTTCACACACAAAATTCTGCATACTCTAACTCAGCTTCACTTTTGTTTTCAAGGTTCATAAAGTACTCAGAAACAGTAAACCTAAATGAACTTATGAAGGTGTACCTTCCAATGAACTTAGAGAGACTTTTGAGTAAACATGCTTAGAGCTAGCTTTGAGATGGTTAGCCATCTTAGTAGCCACTTAGAAATTTCAGAAGTTTCTTGCTGAAGGTATAATATAGTTGCCTTCTCCTGTTCCCCTTTGTAAAGTAGGCCAGATTTCCTC